GCTTGGCAGCTAGGTGGTAAGAGGAAATGGAATTAAATTAGAACTTTTGGTAAATGAAATTGTATGGCCATTAGCTACATGCTATCTGTTTTCAGATGACAGACATTTAGCAGGTACAAATCATATGTGCAACTTTGAAAGCTTTCAGTGAAAAAAAAACTTTAACTTGAGCTGCTTATACATATGATGCAGAAGTTTGATTTTTTTTTCATTGTGGGTTTTTTAAAAAAGGACCAAATTGTAACAAGGAGTCCAAATTTTATTTTTGTTTTAAAGTTTGTGCTGTTGCAAGATTGGTTTGTTTTTCATGCAGCAGCCACCAATCTTCTGATATGGGAAAATGATTGATTGACTGATTGATTGATTGATTGATTATTAAATTTGTATGCCACCCATCTCCCCCAACGGGTGACTCTGGACAGCTTACAGTTAAAATCAAAACCCCGACAACAATTAAAAATACCCCATAATAATTAGAACTAATTAATATTAAAAATCAATATAAAAAGCAAACCCTATTCAAAATACTAAAAACATTCAAGATGACGGAGGGGGCAAAGTCAATCACCCCACAAGCTACCTCCACTGGTGAGAGCCCCCATCCAGGCCCCAGGTCTTCTGGCACAGCCAGGATTTCACACCTTTCCTGAAGGCCATGAGAGTGGGGGCACACCGCACCTCAGGAGGTAGGTTGTTCCATAGAGGGGGGCCACAGCAGAAAAGGCCCTCTTCCCAGATCCCACCAGTTGAAGTTCCTTGACTGGCGGGGTCTGCAACATGCCTCTTCTGCCGGCCCGAGTGGGGCAGGCTAATATAACAAAACTATTGCAGCAGCAATGTAATTGATTTGGAAGAAAGAAGTCAAATGCCCAATGTTTTGTTAATGAATGTAAGTGTAAAACCTGACTTTTGGAAGCATAAAAGCACTAGGCATTTGGCTCCAATGAAAGCCACCATACATTTTTTCCAAATTTATTAAGAAGCTACTGAAGTAACTTTTCCCCAGGAAGAACAGGTTGGTTGCTCCTGCATGATTAGAGTTTCTGTCTCGGTTTCTGCAAGACCATTCTCACTCTAGAAATTCAACCAGCAATCAGAAGCTAAGAACAGAAGAGTCAAATACAAGACTTGGATAGGTATTTTGCTTTTATTAGAGATACAAGAAAGTTTAATAACAAAGGAGATAAATTACTTCAGAATATTAGAGATTTAAATCTTAAATCTTTATTTATGTGGCTGTGCCATCAATATGGAGAGCACCTGCACCACGATTTGATAGCTTTCTTGTACGATCTCAGGCTGTTTGCTTATCTCTCAATTTCTCTCTCTTTCCTAATCCTGACTCCATAACAACTCTGGGCAGCATACAATATTAAGAATAGTTTGAAACAATGTAACAGATAGGAAAGAATAATAAGGGAGCAATAAACCACACATCCTGAACACAAAACATTCCCATAAGAGGACACGCCCAAGATTTGGAGGAAGAGACAGGTTTTTAGGATCTGTTGAAATGAGCTCAGAGTAGGTACTTTATGGATGCTGTTCTAGAGGACAGGTGCTGCAACATAGGAAGTCTGCCACCTAGGTCTAGTCGGATGACACCGTTTAATCAATGGGATCCAAAGCATGCCAACTCTGTCTGATCATGCAGGATGAGCAAAAACTACAGAAAGTTCCTCAGATTGCCAGTCCCTATGCCTTTATTAATGACTGGAAACCTCTTATGGACTTTTTGCTGAAAAAAGAAAAAAAATGAACTTGTGATTTATGGGTTTGATTATTAGAAAGGGTAGACTATGGAAAGAAGGAAATTATGTTGTAACCTTAGAGACAGAGTGTAAAATATAAATGTACTTGTAACTGCTGTTAAGAAGACCAGAAGCTGCTTCCTTCTCTTCTCTTCTCTTCTCTTCTCTTCTCTTCTCTTCTCTTCTCTTCTCTTCTCTTCTCTTCTCTTCTCTTCTCTTCTCTTGATTCTGATTATTTTAGCAGAATGGTAGGGAACTGCTGATGGTAAAATGCTGCAAATCTATTCTGCTAAAAGAATCAGAATCAAGTTTACACATAGCATTCCCAAAGCAGCTTACTTGATAAAATGCATCAGAATCACCAATTTTTTTAAAAAAAATAGTAGCTGAAAATTATACCCAAGAATACTCTATGCTTACATATAGAAAAGCCTGTCTTAACATGCTGCCTGAATGACAGCTCAGAGATGTCATGACATTTCAGAGATGCAACTACTGGACTTAAAACTTAACACTGTTGCATAAAGCAGGGCAGGTTTCAATTTGTCCTGAGCAAAGTTTTTGTTTCCCTGATTTGTTTCCAAGCTTAAATCACTGTTTTTATCCCACCCATTCTCCCCAGCTGCAGTGCGATAAGAATATGTGCTTGCAGAGTCTTTTTATTATGTCCCTCTCCTTTTCTCTCCATGAGAACATAGTTGTATAGTTGGGTGTTTCTTCTGAACATATAAGAATAACTTCATTATATTAGCACACTGTCCTTACTTGCAGAAGGAATATTTAGAGAACCCATTTATTCAAACCTGCTCTTACTCCAGAAAAGTAGAAAACAGGGAGAGACAAAAGGAATGTTATAGCCATGAATGTTTGACCTGGTTTACTGACCTACTTCTGAGTTCTCTGGGGTGGAAGCTGACCAATTTAAAATCTAAATAGAAATTCTAAATCATCCCTCTAGAATGACAAACATAAATATTGATTTTCTATTTAAATGTGGGACTAAAACCAGAAAAAAGGCATATATGCAGATGTAGGATTAAATCTGTTTGTGTGCCCAAGGGGCTGTGTACTTGTCTTCCTCAAGCAGAAGCTCCTGAACAGGCTTTCACTATGTGGCAACGTGCTTGAAAAATGAGGGAATTTTCAAAAGTGGATTAGGAAGTGGCATAGGAACAAAAAGCCTTGTTAAGCTTTATTAAGGCCTTCTTCTGCCCCTGAGGTGACTTTTTTGAATCTCAGAAGGGCTGAAAAGGAAAAGAAGCATGATAATTTTGCTTTTGTGGTACACATACACTTTTAATCAATATTCTTTCAGTCTTCTCTTTTATCAGCTCTCTTGACAGGACCAAGCTAGTCATGGCATTAACTCTATGCATGCAATCAACATTCATGTTTTTGGTAAACATAGTAACTACTGAGGATAGCCTTGGCACTGTGGGGGTGTAATTTGTTGTTTTAGTTTTGTGAAAAGCAACTTGGATGTTACCATATGCATTTTAAATGTAGCCCTCATAATAAACTTCCCCTGAAACATAAATAGCAGCTCCTGATAGATCATTTTGATTCATTCCATGGCAGGGGGGACCCCCCCCAACTTTTCATTCCAACCCCCACTTATCACATGGCTGAACAGCCCCTCAAGGACTGCTATTTGCATATTAAAAAACATGTGCATAGATTATATAGATAACATCTAATGAGCATCAGATCTAAACTGGGACTCATGTGCCACTACATTGTTCTACATTGATACGAACACCAGCAAAGAAAGCCAGGCAACCCTATAACATTTATTCATTGACATGTGCAGTTCTGTTTTATGTATGTCACACACTTTATTTTCATTGTATATATTTCCATCCTTTCCCCACAAACAGCAGGAAGGAGCATTCAATTACTTCCTGGGTGGAGGTGTTTTTTCCTGTGAAGATATATGGACCATGGTACAGGTTCTTACAAAGAAATAGTTCAGGGAGCAGGAACGTATGATCTCTTCTTTTAACAAAGTGTGCATGTATCTACCACACATTAGGAAGTACTTAAAAAGTGAATGCTTGTGCAAAGATGCCCTGTATTATATAACCTCAAGTTGAATTATTTTTTTACCTGTATCCTTTTCTAGTCCATTAATCCCTAAGTAATTTGTTGATCTAATAGAGCAAATCTGACTGTCATTGCAAACCTGGGGTAATGAACTAGCACCAAGATCCATCCCAGTTCTTATGTTCTATGATTCTAAAGTGAGATCATTAGTGTTTAGACTCTTGCACTCTTTTTTAGTGCCAGATGTCATTAATGGCATGTTCAGGCAACGATACAGTAATAATTTTAGAATAGCTGAAAACTCACAGAAGTACCAAATCTCAGAGATTTTCCTATTCTTGCTCTTTCAATCACAATATTTTTGTATTTAAAAATAATATGCATTCATTTTGGGATCTTGCAAATGCCATTTGAGAATAATGTGGGGCCCACAGATGCCATGTTGTTAACCTTAGATTTAACTAAATTCACTTTTCTTTATAAAAATGGGCTTAGCATGAAAAAATTCCAGCAAAGTATACAGTGCTCTTTATGTAAAACATTTTGACACAATTGGTATGTGCACAGCTCTGGCAGAGGTTTTCCGGTTTTCTTAAAATTAAATAATATAGGGACTGAGGATATATATTATTAATCAATATTTTAAATTGATTTTTCTGTTTCAGTTTTTTTTTTTTTACTCATAAAAAGGCTACAACGTATTTTGGAGATAGTATTTTGAGGAACTTGTAAATTTGACTCATTTTTATGTGCTGAACTCAATGCAACCTGTCCCATTATATAGTGATTTTCCTGAGTTCATCTGGATTTTGAACCGTTTATTTCTTAGTTCATTCCATCATCGAAAGACCATTTAGGAACATTATGAGGCTCTGTCTAAAGATGTGCTGAACCTTTAAGAAAACTGCTTCAATAGCTGTGAGGTGACATAATCAACATGTTGTGGATTTTGTAGTTCTTGAAAATCTTTAAAGATATGGAATCCCAACATTTGTATAGCATAACAGGTTGGGAATGACAGCTGTAATTAAAAAAATATGTCTATATCTTTCCATTCTTCTTGGGACCATCCTGCTCTTTTTAATTTGACTAATAGAGGGGAAAGACCATATCTTAAAGTTGGCAGTGTTTCCTGGTAGTATTCAGAAGGTCTTAGTTGGAAAGGGATCAAGTAGTAGATGTTATTAAGACTCAATAAAATTGCAGTCAGAGTAGACAGTGTTGGTTTGATTGGTATTTTCTCTTGTATAAAGCAGCCTTCTGTGTTATTCTATACACAGTTATTGGGAATTTTATTTATTTAACAATATTAAAAGATAGGGGGAACAACAATCCAGTACTTGTTACAGAAATTCAAGCATCAAATAAATTGCCTTGCTGTATGAAGGATTATTTTTTATTGATTTCCCTAGTAAAGACCAAAATAATTTAATCATAGAGCCTTTGGAATGGCCATGCTCTTTCTCACTAGCTTCCTTTCGATATGATAGTATGCTTTATATTGAAAGAAAAACAAGAGCTGTCAGATCACTCTAATCCATCTAATATCACTCTAATCCATCTAATCCATCTAATATGACTCTTTTTCTCCAGAATGGATTGCACATAGCTTTATGTAAACCACTTCCAAAATATGAGAATGGTGGTTTTTATATCCATTACAGTTATTTGCATTTTCTTCTTTGAGTATTCCGCCCACTCCTGATTTGAATGAATTATAATATAACAAACCTGCAAACATACTATTTTGAAAAAGTTATTCAAACTTTTTTTAAATGACCTTGTCACTCATTCATCAATACAAGACAAGGAACCATATCATTAACACTAATTGTATTATAGAAGAAGGAAGTGCATAGACTTCCTTAAGGCAATGTGAGAATTATTGCAGGCAATTTCACTGCAAGAGAACTTAAAGCAATGAATAATTATTGAAGGCAAGACATGGGGCTATCATTCATTCATTCATTCATTCATTCATTCATTCATTCATATATTTATTTATGCTCTTTAATATTCCAATAATATAGGTTAGATTCAGCATCACATTCCTAATTATTTTTCTATAGAGATCAGATTTATAAATATTTTGGTTTTTTAATAAATAATTTTATTAAGAATTTTGATTATAATAGTAAAATCTAATACAAACTAAACTTAAAGAAAACAGAAAGGAGTAAAAAGTGCAAGAAAAAAAAAAGAAGAAAGAGAAAAGTAAGAATATAATAAAGACAAAAGAAATAGGTAAAGAAGTGGCCTTCATCACAAGTATAAACAAATTAGTGACTCTTCACCCCCTCTAAGGTTACAAACATTTATTTTTTCATCCCATATCTCATCTCTTATCTATAAACAAATCCATAAAACATCATCTTTTCAGTCCTGGTGTCAGCAGAAAGTCCATAAAAGGATGCCAGAAG